CAATGTATTTGAAAAAAAATATCATTTCCATAAAAACAGTACATTCCATGAAATATTTTTAAAAACTGTATGAAAAAAACAAAGAGTTTATCAAAAAATGCATATAAATTTCAAAAATTTTGAATACAATAAAAAAGTTCATGCAAAAATAAATTACTACTCAAAAAAAGAAAGAAAATCATCCATTGTAATTATTTTTCCATGAAAAATCTTTTCTTTTTGCACCAGAAAAAAGGATAATTTAATTGTTTCATTTACCCTCTACATAAGTTTCATAAGTTACCCCCTGCATAAGTAACCAGAGGATAATCATTAATATACGAGGGTTGTCCATAAAATAAGGTTCCCAAGGAGCTGCGGATGCTAGGAACGCTGTTAAGCGGGGTTTGTTGAGACTGGCGTGTAACTTAGCTCCCTTTGCCCCAGTTCCCGCCCCGGCGAGGTATCTACAACGTTAATTCTTGTCTTGGTAGCCGTGAAAGATAAAGCTTCCATTTGTTTCTCACTCCAGGTGCGAATTACGCTCTGTGATTTGTTTTTGAGTGCAAAAAACTTTCCTCCGGTGGACATTCATTCCCAACTCTGTGAGGCGTACGGGGAAGAGTGTATGAGTGTGCAAACTGTGCGCAAATGGTGCAGAGAATTCAAAGACGGACTTACAGACGTCCATGACGAACAACATTCTGGTCAGCCATCGTTTTCGGACAAAGCGATTGCGAAAGTGGAAGAAGCAATGCTGAAAGATCGAAGGGTGAAGGTTCGGGACCTCAGCGAGATGATCCCTGTTGTCAGTAAGTCCTGCATTCACAACATTCTGAGAGACCGCTTAGGATATGCCAAGGTTTGGGCAAGGTGGGTCCCGAAAATGCGGACGGATGACTATGACAACAAACGGCAACGTGTGGAAGCCGCCTGCGAATTTCTTCATGCCTACGAAACCGATGGCAAGGAATTTTTGGACTCTGTTGTCACTGGGGACGAGACCTGGGTCCACTACATGACACCGGAAACAAAAGAACAATCCCGTTAGTGGAAGCATCCATGCTCGCCAAAGCCGAAGAAGTTTAAGCAAATTCTGTCTGTTTTAAGCTATCTTCGCGGAGCGGCGGCAGAGTTTTACGACTCAAGCATAAAGAAGATGGTACACTGCATGTAAAAATGCATTGATCTAAACGGCGATTATGCCGAAAAAAAGAGGGAAGTCTAAGCTTTCCAAACATGTATTATTCAATGCCAATAAACATGTTTTTCATTGTGAAAATTCGTTGGGAACCTTATTTTATGGACAACCATCGTATTTTTAATTAGAATAAAAAAAGTATCATATGAATATACAGGGCAAGACTTTAACAAGAACTCATACGAATCCAGGTAAGTATAAGCACATGCTACGATTTTGAATGTTTTCTGATTACGGAATTTTAAACTGAACTCATTTCAAAAAATTTTATTTTTTTTAAATGAATTTTTTTTACACCCTAAAAAAATTTGTTTTGGGACAAAATGTAGGGATATCTAGAAATGAAACAAATGTCAATTAATTTGTTTAAGTTGTTAATTTGTTTCTAGAAAAAGGTGCAACTAAATTAAACTTGTTGACACAAAATTGATTTTATTAGTGACAGATTATGCTATTCAAAATCAAATTTGTATTATAATAAAAAGGAAATGAACGAATTTTAGTAGGGTAAATATGATTATTAATATGTTGAGAAAAAGGGGCAACTAAATTAAACTATAATTAAAACAAAATTTATTTCACTGATAATACCGATCATTTAATCCCAAAAATAATCAATGTTAAAATAAAGAAATAGTAAACTTATTAAAATAAAATTTATTTTAAACATAACACAAACCATGTGATTCCAAGAGAAATTTATATAAGAAATATGATGATACTTGCATCTAGGAAATAAATGACTTTTTAGCCGTAGAAAATCTGACAGTTAATTTGTAGAGCAAAAGATGCAACTAATAAAATTTATAAAATTTATTTCATTCACAATATAGATCATGTAACACAAAAAAGTAGTATTAAAATAAAGAGAGAGTAAACTTGTTGAAATAAAATTTATTTTATTACAGATAACACATAAATCATGTGATTCGAAAACAAATTTACATAAAAATATAAAGATACTTGCACCTAGGAAATAGATTACTTTTTAGCAGGGAAAAATTTCATAGTTAATTTGTAGTGTAAAAGATGCAATTAAATTTATAAAATTTATTTCACTGACAATATAGATCACGTAATCCCGAAAAACTTTAGTATTAAAATAAAGAGTAACCTAACAGTAACCTATAGTAACATAGTATCCTATAGGGCCACATGTTGGGCCCCTATTAGACCTATAATTATTTCCTCTGGTAGGGTACACAAGTACCCGGTAATATAATACCTGGTCTAATTTGAATATTATTGATCAATATTAAGCGGAGATATAGGACCATGTTGTAATACAGAATAAAAAAAAAATTTTCAAGCAACATTAATCATGCCATTCAAAAACAAATTTGTATAAAAATATAAAGATACTCACATTTAGGAAATAAATGACTTTTCAGCAATAGAAAATCTGACAGTTAATTTGTAGAACAAAAGATGCAACTAATGAAACTTACAAAATTCATTTCACAGATAATAAAAATCACGTAAAGCGACTAAAAAACAAACTTATATCAAAATAAAGAGATTTTTAGGAAGTAAACAAATTTTGCAGAAGAGGAAGGAATTTGACAAACCAATTGTTGAGAAAAAAAATGCAATTAACTTAACCTTATTGAACTAAAATTTATTTCACAGATAATACAACAAAAAAAAATTTGAGTTAAAATAAATAGATATTTAGAAAATACTTTAATTTTAATGGGGAAAATTACAAATCAAGATATGAGAATGAATAAAACCAAGACCATTTAGATGAATAGGGGTGCTGATATTCTGAGTGCTCCATAATCACCCCCTTTCATATATATTTTTTAAATTGTTAAAAAAAAACATATAAGAGTAATTAAAACGTGAAGAAATACAAAATTATCAAAATCCAACAACTAATTAAGAGAAAAAGAGGAATTCAAATAATTAAATACTAGCTAGTTCATTTGTTGAATAAAAATTTCAGAAATACAATTTGTTACTTACTAATAGGATGATAGATCATGAGAAATAGAAATTTAAAACTGCCAGTTTTTTTTTCAAAATTATTAAATTAAATTATTCAACAAATTTAGTTGAAAAATTTTATAATTAAAATTTTTAAAATAAAAGTTCACTTTAGGTATCGGCCTGAATATCACTCAGTGGTTGCTAACAGTTTAATCAGATTGTAAAGGTAAGATCAGTTATCTTAATCTAACAAAATACTTACATCAAGCATGACTTAAAATTTAAAATTTTTAATCTATACATATATCTACGTTCCCTATTCACTTAAATTTAAGAACTTGGAGCAATATAGAGCCAATATAAACCACAGTTTTCCAAAAGATATATATTTCCATCAAACTGTTTCTTAGTACTGTTTTCAGATGAATACTTTATAAATTTCCAATATTACCTCTGGATAAAACACAATACACAGAAAAATCTTACTGTTGGCATGGAAATCATAGTATTTTTAGCCAAAACACGCTTAAAGAACTCTCTTCTAAACAATTTGAAAATGTAGCTTATAATTGTAATACCCCAAACTTTTCAATTAAACTTTTTTTCATAAAAGTAATTTTCAAGTTATTACAGTTTACTATTAATAAAGTAAACTCTCTTTTTACTGTGGAACTAATCATAGGATAGAAAAGTAATTTCAATAGCTTTAGATTTCTTGTAATCTGCTTGAAAGTGATATTATTTGGAATTTTAGAGTAAATTATTTGGAACTTATTTTCAAATTCAAAATAATAATAATTTTCTTAATATCTTTTACAATTATTTTTCTTACAATGCAAAATAAAATTTATGCAAAGTTTTGTAGAAAGAACAATGCAAAAAAGAATTTAAATAAAATTAATATATTTTGTTGCTTTAAAGGTAAAATATTTGAGCAAAAACTTTATTAAGATTTGAAATATGTTCAAAAGGATACACGTGGATTTATTACATGTGTGCTCTATTACATGCGATGAATATAATTTTATGACACCTTGAACTTGTTGGATTTCCAGACAAACATTTTAAAACTGAACTAATATTTCGTTTTGATACTTGGCGACACTCTGCTGCTGAAGATAAAATTTTTAATGGTTCAATCAAATTATCTTACACGTGTGAAATGAAGAATCCATCAAATGTTTCTAAAAAAGTATATTTATTTAGTTATTTTAAGAGGGGGAGCGAAGCATAATGCACTTAATTTGATTTTTTCAATTTTAATCAAAATATATGATGTACTAAAAATATATTCATATATTTCTCAATTGAGATTATTATTCTTTATGCATAAATAAAATAAACTTTTTTTGACCTATGTTGAAGTAAAACATTATTTGCAGACATTAAAATTAATTTTTCTCAAAAATACAGGCTTTAAAGGAACTGCCAGAGTTTTTCAACGTTTCTCTTTGTTTCAGAATAAACTTTTTACAATCATTACAACTTTAACACGTTGAATGCCATGGGTGTCACCGGTGACTGGCACTGAGTTTGCTTGTAGAGCCACGGGTGTCAGCGGTGAAGCCAAGATTATTAGAAACACATAATTTGAGTAAATTTTTAATGCTTTTTATTTTTTATATTATTATCATTATTAAAATGATTTGAAGAAATTAATGCAATATAGAACACACAAAAATAGTTTTATTTATATACACAGAGATGCCAACTTGCTCCAGACAGCGAATAAATATTTTCAAGCGATAGTTTATTATGTATTTTTTACCAATTAATTTTTGGATGAAAGGCGGGAAGCCATTAATATTCTTTAACAAGCACCTGTATTTTTAAGTGTATAAAATATAAAATGAATATGAATTCAAAGGATCAAAATAATGAAACAAAATTATATAAAAAATTAATTTATTTTTTCAACAATACATCACCATAACTGGAATTTAATAATGCACAAATTGCTTCATCTGTAGTATAATCCAGAGCTAAAAGGAACAGAAATATATATTTTAAGTATGAATATGAAGGTGCATAAATACGTATA